GGAAGCTCTGGGGCCATCTCAGGCGGGAAGAAAAAGCCTCACTGACTCAACCCCCAGGGGCAGGGGGCTGCTGGACCGGTGCCCTACCTGCCGTCCTCCTGGTCTCCTGCTTCTCCTTTGGGCTCAGCCCAGGGCAATCTTGAAAAATCAAAACTGGGAGATGGAGTCCTTCCCACCCCTGCCTGTGCCAGTGAGGAAGCTGAGCCGGGGGAGACCGCGCTTGGAGCCAGCGGGGGTTCACCATATCATCCACTTGTCTGTCTCTTTGCTTCTCGCCCACCCATGGGGTCCCTATACTGGGCAGCAGTGGACACTGGGTCCCCTTATGAATGGCCAGAAAAAGGTGTCAGAGGAAGTCGGTCATTCTGGCAGTGGTTACGGCAAAAGGTGCAAATATTTAAAGTCTCTGTCGACAGGAAACGATTTAAATGATGGGATAGGAACCTGGTGCTGTTCTGTGAAGCTGCTAAAAGGGTCAAAAGTGCTGGCCTCGTATGTGGTCGCGGCGACTTGTTCCGCGCGTGTACGTGCTGCCACTCAAGCCCTCAGGGAGGACACGAGGAAATGGTACCAGAGGTTGACTCTGGTTGGGAGAATCGGGGACTAGGGGTTGGGAATGATGGTAGGAAACTTGACTTTTTTTCTCTCTTACGTACACTTGACACTTTTTTTAAAAAAAAGAATTACTTAATTGTATTTGTCATTATAATTATTTTTAAATTTGCTACAGGGCCCAGGCATTCACCAGAGAGAGATAGAGAGAGAGGGAAAGTGAGAAAGTGAGCCATCAGTTCCAGGACTTGAACTGTGACTGGCCATGTGGGAGTCCAGTGCCTTAACTACTATGCCACCTGTTGGTCTCCCCCATGCTTGACATTTTTGATCAGGTGCACATATCTGAAAGATTCTTTAAAAAAAAATTTATCAGAGGCCACATGCACACACCGGAGAGAGATGAAGAGACAGAGAGGGAGAGGAAGAAAGTACCCCCAATGGGATGTGGTCACCCTGCAACCCCTTCTCCTCTGTTTCTCTCTGTCAGGATTTGGGGCATGCACCCACATGCACCTGGTGTGTTTCTCAAGTCTCTGGATGGGTCCAACTGCAGTCGGTTCTCTGGGGTCCAGCTCCCTTTAACCACCAGGCTATGGGGCTGCCTGCCACCCCTCAGTTCTTACAAGGGAAAAATCTAGCCAAAGGAAAGGAATTGCTGCCGTTCTCCAGTGAACACTCCTCACACCTGAGTCTTGAAGTCACCCCTAGCGTCCACCCTCAGCCTTCTTCTGCCTGACTCGGATGGAGGTGCAGTCAGGCTTGTCTGCAGTGACGGATGTGAGAGCAATCGGTGACACGGCCCCTGCCTCTGAGGCCCGAGGAAGGGCGTGACTCACGGAGATTGAGCAAGGCAGGGGCCCTTGGCGGCCAGGAGGTGAGTTCTAGTTATCACGGCTGGATGAGCCTGGAGGTCCTGCCGAAACACACAAGGAGCCAGGTGCTCCTGAGGAATTCCTGGGCTACGGGCTGGAGTAAGGTTTCCCGAGGGGCACATCTGGATGGGCCCTGCTGCCTTTTTTTTTTTTTTTTTTTTGGTTTTTTTTTTTTTTTAAGAGAGATTTTTGCTATAAGGCTCATGCACTCACTGGAGAGACAGAGAGACAGAAAGTCAGAAATCACCCCCCGGGGGATGGCCACGCCACAATCCCTTCTCCTCCACTCTCCTCTCGGGATTTTGGGCACACACGCACATGCACCAGACGGTGGGTTTGAAGCCACCAGGTCTGGGACTTGGAACCGTGGTTGATCACGTGGGAGTCTAGCGACACAGCCATTTCACCATCTGCTGGTGCCCATACTGTTTATGATACTGACGATAATAACCACACCAGGGCCCTTTAATGAATGCTTGTGCTGACCACCAGCACACGAATCCTCAGAACTCTCTGAGAGCATTCAAGAGGGCTAAGCAGGGCTGGCTCTGTGGCGCGGTGTGATGCGCTGCCCGGGAAAAGCCAGCCACGTGTGCACGCGTGCCCAAAATCCCGAAGGGAGAGACAGACAAGGCATTGCGGCATGGCCGTGCTCCTTGTGTGTGTGGGGTGCGTTCTCACTTTCCTTCTCTTTTCATTTCTCTTCAGTGAGTCCAAAATTTTAAAAGAAAACAGAGAAGAGAGAGAAATAACTAGGTGCGCTCCTCTGCCATCGTCCTGCAAGATTCCCATTGGCTGGTCAGGCCTGGCTCAGTTAGACTACTGGTGCCCCTCGCGTTCGCACCCACGGCTTCCTTTCTTTTCTTCTTTCCTTTTTCTTTTCTTTCTTTCTCAGTTATAGGATATATGTGCTTCCTGGACACGGAGAGAGAGAGAAAATGAGAAAGCACCCTTCGTGGGGGATGGCCACACAGCAATCCCTTTTCCTCCATTCTTCCCTGAGAATTTTGGGCATGCTAGCACACGCACCTGGTGCGTTTTTTCCAGCTGATGGGTGGGTCCAGGACTCAAACAGCTGTCAGCCAGGTGAGATCCAGTCACCTTAACCACCACGCTACCTGCTGGCCCTGCACTGCTTTCTTTCTTTCTTTTTTTTTTTGGAGAGGTTTTTGCTATAGGGCACGTGCGCTCACCAGACAGACAGAGACAGACAGAAAGTGAGAAATCACCCCCCAGAGGGGATGGCCACGCTGCAATCCCTTCTCCTCCATTCTCCTCTCGGGATCTTGGGCACGCACGCACGTGCGCCCGGCGTGAGTTTAAGCCACCGGGTCTGGGACTCAAACCGCGATAGACTATGTGGGAGTCCAGTGACATAACCATTACACCAACTGCTGGTCCCTGAACTGCTTTCTTACAGTTGGTTGTTGGATCTTAGGCAGGTTACTTAGCCTCTCTGAGCCTCGACTTCCTCTCTGTAAGACAGAAATGATCCATAGTCCTCATTTGACAGTCTAGCCCAGGGCAAGCAATTAGTAAGGGTGAAGTAGCTATAACCAGGCCTGGCTCTGGGTGCGCCTATGTTTGCTCTGACTGTTACTAACTGCAACCGTATTTCATCAAAATCTAAGATGCCATCAATTGTCAAAGATGTCATTAGGGAAAAAAGAATGCCGCCAGTTAACTATGTCCCAAGGCTCTTTCATCACTAGCGTTTTTATTTTATGTTTCCCGAAAGAGCTCTGTTCGACTTAGATGTCGATTCTCCTCTGACATAACTCGGATGTGTACATAAAAGGCTGACACAGCACAATAAATTCGGCATCATGTTCGGCAAACTCCTTTGCATTTAGAGCCCGACTCCCAAGAATCATTCTTGGTGCAAGAGTCACGATGTCCGTGCCCGTTACCCTGCCACCTCCTCTTCGGGGCCATCAGGAGTGCTAGGGAGAGCAGCCCTCCTTCCAACCAGCCGTAAAACAGCCAGGAGCTCTGAAGCCAGCTCTGCAATCCTGCAGAGAGCTGAGTTGACTTTTGACTCTGCTTTGGGGTGTTTTTTTTTGAGAGGTTTTTGCTATAGGGCGCGCGCGCTTGCCAGACAGAGAGATAGAAAGCGAGAAATCACCTCCAGGGGGGATGGCCACACTGCAATCCCTTCTCCTCCATTCTCCTCTTGGGGACACGCACGCACATGTGCCCGGAGTGAGTTTTTAAGCCACCGGGTCCGGTACACGAAACGTGTCATGGAGGCCAGCAACATAGCCATTATGCTAACTGCTGGTCCCTTGGGGTGTTGTTGACAAGCCTCGTTCTCCTCCCCTGGGGGCTCCCTCTGTTTGTGACTCGGGGTTAAAAGAGCAATCTGTTCTTGCCTTTGGGGTTTTCTTCCAGTCTGGCAACACCCTTCCTGCAGGATTCGATGTTGGAGCTGTTGAGGTTGGGCATGCGCAGGCAACGACAGCTCTTTCAGGACTGCAGCAGGCCAGACAACCAGCACTCCACGTAACCTGACTTCAGAGGTGCTCCGTGTGAATAGGGAGGCATCTGGGAGTAGGCAGAACATGAGTCATTTCTGCTCTTTATGCTGGACAGGCTTCCAGTTGCCTCGGAGCCCTTGCGCATTCTGATCCAGCTGCCCAGAATACCTTTCCTCCCCCCCTGCTTTGCCTAGTTAACCCAGTCATCCTGACCTCATGCCTCCTCTGGGATGCCCTCCCTGGCCATCCCACTAAAGTCAATCCCTTCCTTGTCATAGTACCTGCTGTGGCTGCAATGTTACAGTTCGAGTGCGTGAATTGTTTGGTAGCTGTCTCCCCAGGGTACTGTTCGTCCCACGGGGACAGGGACTGTGTGTGTAGCTTGTCACTACACTCTGGCATCTGGCACAGCGTCCAGCATGGGGTAGGCAAGTGAATGAAGGAAGGGTGCAGTGGCCCCTGAGACAGGTGCAGCTGGTCGTGGCACTGTGCTGTCTCCTCCTGAAGCCAGAGTCTGTTTTGCAGGTGGGAAACTGGGGCCTGGCCAGTCACGTGGGCACTTGTTCATGGCCTTGTCTCAGTCCAGTGTGTGCAGAGTGTGGGGTGGGACCAGGGGAGGGGTGCTCAGCTCCCTCAGGGGTTCGGAGGGAAGCTTTATGGGAGAGGCTGCTTCACAGGTTAGAGGGTTGGTTTGAATAAGTCTGAGAAACATCAGGGGCAAGGGAGGAGGCCCCGTCAGGAAACCTAGACTATCAGAAGATGCCTACATGGGTGCCTGGCCTCATCATGAAAGGCCCAGAGCTCCTTCAGAGGCCCAGGGTGATGCAAGGCTGAGGTCAGCCTCTCCAGTTTTAAGTTGGAAAAGGAAGGCCCAGAGAGGCGAGGTACTCACCCATCATCGCCCACTGAGCCAGGAGCATCGTGGACCTTTCCTCTGCTCACTCCAGGCCGGCCCTGCCAGACAAGGTAGGAGGATGCCGGTGGGGACTGGGGCAGGCCCCTGGGGGTGCCCTGGCTGGCCTGAACCCGGAAGGAGGAAGCTGCACAGGGTGTCTGTGGCTGGGCCTGGGATCCCCCCCCACCACCCCCGGGAACTTCCTCTTCCTTTCAGGGCAGGTGTAGCTGCCAGAGCGAGACGGACACCCTGACCTGGCATGGAGGGGGGCAAGGGGCCCAGACTCAGGGACTTCCTGAGTGGGAACCTGGCCACCTGGGTGAGGGGGCTGCTGGGAGCTGGGCCGGGAGGGTCAGCAAACAGTTGCCTCAGGCTGTTGTTTGGTTGTGGGGAGGAGAATGGGGTAGAGCAGCGCCAGTGGGGGGGTGGGCTCCGTGTGGGGCGTGGGAGAACACAGGGGATTGTGAGGAGCGGGGAGGGCCCAGAGGCATTCAGGGGGTTGGTGAGGAGCAGCGCTTGAGCTCATTGGGGAAGGTCAGAGGGTTTGGGATTTGCTCTACCGCTGGGGGCCCCCACCGGGTCCAGCTGACTCCTCTCCACGCCCCCACAGGCGCTGGGACTGGCTGGGCTGGTGGGGGAGGTGGAGGAGCTGGAGGAAGAAGAGGAGGACGAGGAGGAAGAGGGGCCCTTTTGCCCGGAAAAGAGGTTCCTGAGTCTCAGCGATGGGGCCCTGCTCCTGCGGGTGCTGGGCATCATGTAAGGGCACAGGGGTGTGGTCGTGGTAGTGAGGGCATCTGAGGGGAGTTGCCAACGAGCTGACAGGAGGCGCTGAGGGTGGTGGGTGGAGCCTCCCTGGGGGGAGGTGGGTCCTCCATCCCTCCTCCCACCCGTGGCCCCCTGTGCCCGCAGTGCCCCCAGTTCCAGAGGGGGACCTCGAATGGCGAGGGGCCAGGATGGGCCCGCAGCCCGGCGGGTCTGCAACCTGAGCCACCTGTGGGGCCGACTGAGGGACTTCTACCAGGTGAGAGTCTGGAGGGGAGGCTGAGACGGGACCCCCGTGCGAGTAGGCCCCTCTCATTTTGGCCCACTCTACCTTCAGGAGGAGCTGCAGCTGCTGATCCTGTCACCACCCCCGGACCTCCAGACGCTGGGGTTTGACCCCCTCTCAGGTGCTGTTCCCCACCACCCGCTCCTGTCTATCCCCGCACCCCGCACCTGTTAACCCCTTGTGGCTTGTTCCCTGTAGAGGAGGCGGTGGAGGAGCTGGAAGGCATCCTGCGGCTGTTGTTGGGGGCATCGGTGCAGGTGCGGTGGGGGGCAGGCGGGCTGAGTTTTGGCTGCAGAGGAGGGACGCTGCTTCAACTCGCACCCTCTGTGTCCCCGCAGTGTGAGCACCGGGAACTCTTCATTCGCCACATCCAGGGCCTCAGCCTTGAAGTGCAGAGCGAGCTGGCCTCTGTCATCCAGGAGGTACTAAGGTGGTCGACAGCCTCAGACTGGCACTGCTCCCTGGGACACCCTTGCCACTCCCCTTACACTGAACCTGCCTGCACCCCCAGGTGACCCAGCCTGGAGCCGGTGTGGTGCTGGCACTGTCCGGGCCAGAGCCTGGGGAACTGGCACCTCCGGAACTGGAGATGCTGTCCCGGAGCCTGATGGGGACGCTGTCGAGACTGGCACGGGAGCGTGACCTGGGAGCCCAGGTAGGGGGTGGCAGGGGCATCATGGGCCCATGTTGAGAAACTGGAGGACCATGGGACCCAGATGTGTGTGGGAGATGGGGGTGTGGGATCCAAGGTCTAGAATCCAGCAGGACAGTCGAAACCACATCACTCTGGGGGTCAGGGGCTGATGTGGGGAGGCCCTGGATGGGTTGCTCCTGACCCTTGGCCCTTGACCTCTCTCAGAGGCTGGCAGAACTGCTGCTGGAAAGAGAGCCAACCTCCTTGCCTTTGGTGTCCGAGGCTCCCGCTAGGGCTCCATTGGAGGGTCCCTCACACCATCTGGCCCTGCAACTAGCCAATGCCAAGGCCCAGCTGCGGCGCCTGCGGCAGGAGCTGTGAGTACATGCCATCTGGGAATGGGAACTGAGGGAGAGGGCAGGTCAGGCCTGGATGGGGTCCCAGCCCTAGTGGGTCTGGGAACGGTCAGGTCTGGAAGGGATGAGGGTGGTGTTGCCCCAGGACCCCTTCCATAGCCCTTTCTCTCCAGGGAAGAGAAGGCCGAGCTGCTGTTAGACTCCCAGGCGGAGGTGCAGGGCTTGGAGGCTGAAATTCGAAGGCTCCGCCAGGAGGTGCGCTCAGACCACGGAGCTGCATTCCCTCGCCCCATACCACCCGCCCATTCTGCCAGCGGGTCGTTCTGCTCCTGACCCCACTGGCCCCCAGATGGCCATTCTCAACTCTACCATCTCGGCCCAGGCCCAGGTGCTGTCGGGACAGGCCAAGCGTGCCGAGCTGTACCGGGAGGAGGCAGAGTCGCTGCGAGAGCGAGACGGTCGCCTGCCCCGGCTCCCGGAGGACCAGCGGCGCCGCCGACAGGCAGCAGAGGCCTGCAAGGGCCAGCTGGAGGTGAGGAGGGAGGCCGGGCTGGGGAGGGGCATGCAGGGAGGGGGCGGGTCAGCAGAGGAGGTGAGCTTGGGCCTGAAGTGAATGTCAGGTTTCACGAGGGAACAATGGCGGCTAGGAGAAACGGATGAGGGCGAACGCAGGGAGGTGGTGTCTGGGAAAGGCCTCTGGAGCTTGGGGCTGAGGGGGGTGGGAGGGTTATGTAAGGGTAGCTCCGAGGGAGGAGGGTGGGGTCTAGGGCCCGGTCGGTGTGTCTGCAGACAGACTTCAGCTAGGGGAGACAGATGAGTAGGTCCTGGAGGAATCCAGCTTTGGAAGACTGAACTTGGGGAGGAGGGCGGGGCCTGTACAGAAGGGCGGGGCCAGATCAAGGGTAGCGGTACCTGGAGAGACCCTGGGGAGGGACAGATGGAGAAGAGAGGTGGGGCCTTGAGAGTTGCTGGGGGGCATTGGGGGTAGGGGGAGCAGGATCTGGGGCAGAGGGGGCAGGGTCTGGGGCAGGCCCTGAGAAGTGGTATGGGACCCCCAGGCCCTGGTGTGCATGAGGGCTGCCTTGCACCACAGATCCCCCTTGCTCTCCCATCAGGAGGAGCGGGTGCTCTCAGGGGCTCTAGAAGCCTCCAAGGCTCTGCTGGAAGAGCAGCTGGAGGCTGCCCGGGAGCGCTGTGCTAGGCTGCATGAGACCCAGCGCGAGAACCTGCTGCTGCGGACCCGGCTGGGAGAGGCCCATGCGGTGAGGTCACCAGCGTGATCCCAGCTGGGTTGACCAGCCCAATCCCCAGTGAACTCAATGGACCCTAGGGCTCCCTGGTGATTCCCGTGACCTCTGCTCTTGGTAATGGCCTTCCCTGGCCTGGCCATGGTGGGGAAGGCCTGTCTGAGCCGGCCCTCTGCCCTGCAGGAGCTGGACTCCCTGCGGCATCAGGTGGACCAGCTGGTAGAGGAGAATGTGGAGCTGGAGCTGGAGCTTCAGCGGAGCCTGGAGCCACCCCCGGGCTCCCCTGGGGAGGGTGAGTGGGGCCCCATTGGAGGAACTGGGGTAGGGGCTGCCTGGGTTCTCCTGCTGTTATCACTGGGAGGGCTTCCGACCTCACCCCCTTCTCCCTTTCTGTGGGGTGTCTGTGGGGAGCCAGGGAGTGTAGGAGGGGTCCTGATCCCATTTCACATCCCCAGCACCCTTACCTGGTGCAGCCCCTTCCCTGCAAGACGAGGTGAGGGAGGCAGAGGCTGGGCGGCTGCGGATCCTTGAGCGGGAGAATCAGGAGCTCCGAGGCCTCCTTCAGGAACTGCAGGGGCCGCCAGGTGGCCAGGTGAGGCCCCTCTCCCCACTGTCCTAGCAGGTTCCTCCCGAGTTCTGTCTGGAGCCTGACTGGCCTTTTCATATGCCCTCAGCGCCCTCTGCTGGAGGAGCAGAGCGAGGACTCCATTCTTCCAGTGACGGTGGAGGCTCCCCACCTGACTTCAGACCGCAACCCCCAGGACTTGGTTCCCCAGGTTGGGAACAAGAGCCCCCAGGCCTTGGGCCTGGCCCCTGTGGGATCAGACTCAGTCCCTAAAGGGTCGGATGAGTATCCCCAGGCATCTGATTCAGACACGAAGGTGCTAGAAACACCCCTCCAGGCAGATGCCACAGCTCCCCAGACCTCAGACTTGACTCCTGGAGAGTCAGACCCTGTTGTGGACACGCACAGATCCCTGGAGAAAGCTGGCCATAGAGCCCCTCTCCAGACCCCCGCCTCACCTCAGGACCTGGAGATCAAAACGCAGGCCGAGCAGCTGCTGAGAGGAGAGACTGGGGAGAGAGGGGCTCCCCAAGGGGCATTGGGACTGAGACAGGAGGGCCCTGAGCACAAGCCAGGACCCTCAGAGGTCAGCCTCTGCCTCCGTGTACAGCTGGAGGAGCAGGAGGCCCCAGGCCAGGGGCTGGACCAGTCTAAAGGACAAACAGAGCCCAGAGAGCATGAGCAGAGGCTGGAGAGGGTGGTCGGGGAACCAGCCCAGCCAAAACCACAGCAGAGCTCTGAAGGGATTCCTGAGGCCCAGGTTGGGGAGGGGCCGATCTCGGGGGAGATCCTGGCCAATAGTATTCCAGAGCAGGAGGCCCTCAGGGAGGAGGTGGCAAGGCTGAGGAGAGAGGCTGAGGCCCTTGGAGCTGAGCTAGAGGCCCAGACCCGAAGGTTGGAGGCCCGAGGCATGGAGGCTGCCCGCCTCTCCAAGGAGCTGGCCCAAGCACGGAGGGCTGAGGCTGAGGCCCACCAGGAGGCAGAGGCTCAAGCTCAGGAGCAGGCCCGGTTGCGGGAGGCCGTGGAGGCAGCTGGCAGGGAACTGGAGGCCGCAGCGCGGGAGCGGGAGGCGCTGGCAGAGGCACTGGCAGCAGCAGGCAGAGAGCGGAGGCAGTGGGAGCGCGAGGGGCCTCGGCTGCGGGCTCGGGCTGAGGCTGCAGAAGAACGGATCCAGACGCTGGAGAGCGAAGGCCGCCGCCACCGGGAGGAGGCTGAGAGGGAGCGGCAGGAGAGGCAAGCCCTCAGGGAGGTATGTTGGGGTTACAACTGGGACTAGGAAATGGGGTTCCAGGCCAGATGCCTCGGGTTATTGATTCCATCGATAACCATGGAGTGCCCAGCACTGAGCTGGGACAGGAGATAGAAAGACCAAGTCTATGTGCCGGACCTGGGAGGCGGGCCGTGTGGCCACCTCTGGCGGAGTGGGCTGTGGGAGAGGCCAGCACGGCAAGGCTGTGGTTCCCCACTTCCATCCCATGCCTCCCTTTGCAATATGGGGATATTCATAGCTGCCTCCCTGGGTCTTTCGGAAGACTGAGAGAGAATGGAATAATCTGCTTCATGCTGGGCAAGGGCATGTTGTACATGATCAAGACGTAGTTATCAACAGTAAAGGGTGGGCCAGCAGGCGGCATGGTGGTTAAAGTGCTGGATCCTCACATAGCTGACCATGGTTCGAGTTCTGGACCCAGCAGTTTGAAAATCATACTGAGTATAGGTGTGTGTATGCCAAAAATCCCAAGAGGAAAATGGAGAAGATCGGCATGACCGTCCCCTCTGAGGGGTAAATTCTTTCTTTTCCAATCTCTGTCTCCAGTGACTATATGTAACCCATGGCAAAAACCAAAAAAAAAGGTAAAGGGTGGACCAGTCAGGTAGCATGGTAGTTGAGGTGGCTGGATCCCACATGTCTGACTGAGTGGTTCGAGTCCCAGACCTAGCAGCTTGAAAAACATCCCAGGTGTATGCGTGTGCATGCTCAAATTCCAGAGAGGAGAATGGAGAAGGGATTGGAGTGTGGCCTCCCCACTGGGAGTGATTTCTCTCTCTCTGGTGAGTGCATATACCCTATAACAAAATTTTAAAAGAAAGAAAATAGTTATAAAAAACACACAAAGAGTAAAATATTGTAGGAGCTTATGGTAGGGGGACCTGATGCCTATGGGGGCGACGAGCCTTCAGGAAGGAGTGACTAAGATTATTTAATGCTCATAAGAGACAGAGAACAAGAGGGCACAAGAGCAAGAACCAGGGAGAGGCGCCCTGACAGGTCTGCACGCTGAGATCCACGGGGTCTCAGCCAGCGTGGGCGTGAGCACGCGGGCATGTACCTGATATGCGCAGAGAGGCCTCGGGACACGAACCTGGGACCTTTCCCATGGGTCCAGCCTCACAGAGCGTTGCGTTACTCTTGTGCCACCAGCTGGATCCTGAAAAAACCATAAAGCATGGAAGATGCTCGGGGGCCCAGGAGGAGTTGGGGTGTGGGGGCCACCTTTGACAGTGTTAGCACTCTACCCATAGTCAGGGAACGTCACCGAAGGGCGTGAGCAGACCTGTGTGGGGATGGGTTTGAGGAGGATCCCCTTGGCAGGTGGGGGAGCCTGGGGCCAACAGGAGGCAGTGGCAATGGTGTAGGTGGCAGGTGAGGCTGGCGGGGACAGGGACAGAGATGGAGGGGAGAGGGCTTGAGAACACGGATTCATTCACTCAAGCATGTTTTTGGGCATCTCTGGTGCCAGGCCCTTTACCAGGCTCACAGTGGTGACCAGGTAGCCATGCCTGAGTGGAGGCAGGGCAGTTCAGGGAGCTCTGGGAGGCAGAGGTCCAGAAAATACCTTGGATTCATGCTGGGGCATGTCAGGGAAGGCTTCCTGGAGGAGGAGAGAGAATGGCAGGCCCAGGCATGAGTCTGGAGGGCTGGGAGAGAACTGTGTGGCGTGTGAAGTGGGGCACAGAGAGGTGAGCCTGAGAACTGAGTAAGTGGGGTTCCGCTGGGCAGGGCTGAGGCTTCCTTCCAAGCTAAGGGAGGAGTTCAGGCTCTTTTTGTGAGGGAATGGGGAGCCATGCAGGGTTTACGGTGAGTGAAGTGGTAAAGAGGTACCCCATGGGAAGCCGAGGATACGATGAGGCAACAGGAGGGGTCCCAGGGCTGGGGTGGAAGTGTACCCGGGTGAGGGATCGACGACTCTTCCGGCTTGAATACAGTCTTCCGTTCCACCCCATGTGTATAGACGAGGAGGCCGAAACTCAGAGAGGAAGAGTAATTTGCTCAGTGAAAGGGCGAGGAAATTCCTTGCCCTTCATGAGGGTGAGGACTGGGGTTGACCTGGGGTTAGGCTTCGTGCAGGACAGGCCTGGCTTTAAGGCAGGTCGGAGCATTGTGAGACCCCGGGGCCCGGGTGAGAGGCTGTCTGTGGGGTCTACTCAGCAGGGTGTGACTGGGACGACCTGGGTACTGTCTCAGACCCCCTACTTTTCAGCTGCGTGGCTTGGGCACGTTACTTCATCTCTCTGAGTCTCGGTTTCCTCGCCGTAGCTGTTCACAGGTTCCTGTAAGATGGTGAGCGTAGAGAGCTGGGGTAGCGCCTGGCACCCAGCACGGCTTACTGCAGGGAGGAGGAGGGCAGTAAGAGGCAGTGAGGGGGAGGGCAGGGCTGGCAGGGCTGGCAGGCTGGAAGAGCATTTTCAGAGGACGAGAGGGTGCGAGGCTGGGGACGAAGGGGAATTTTGTGAGATTTCCTGGTCAGAGCAGTTCCTGGTGCTACCTGGGTGTGGCAGAGGAGGATGCCCTGGGAAGGTCAGGAAATGGGGAGTCCCTGGGGCTGACCACATGAACGTGGACACCTCTGGGGCTCAGTGGATGGGACCCGGGTCTGGGCTGGGCTCATGTCTCTGCCTTCACCTGTCCCACCGTTCTTCCTATCCCCTGTGCTCGGGACTGCTGGTCAGTCAGGCAGCGGTGCCTCATGGGATTTGTAGCTTTTTTTTTTTAAAAGATGTATTTGTTTATTTACTTAATTCCATTTGTTACTATTTTTCAATTTGACCAGACAGAGACAGAGAGAGAAAAAGAGAAAGAGAAAGTGAGAAAGAAAGCTACCAGGTCCAGGACTCGAGCCACATCAGCCACATGGGAAACCAGCACCTTTAGCCACTATGTCACCTGCTGGCCCCAGGTTTTTGTTTAGTGAGGCCATGCCCCAGAAGTCAGAAAGTACAGTGCCCTAGGGGCAAGGCCCAGGCGGGGCTGTTCAGTCAGGAAGATTCAGCACCACAGGCTGTAGGCTTGGCTCTTCTCTTCTCTTCTCTTCTCTTCTCTTCTCTTCTCTTCTCTTCTCTTCTCTTCTCTTCTCTTCTCTTCTCTTCTCTTCTCTTCTCTTTCTCTCTTTTCTCGTAGAGAGATTTTTTGCCATAAGGTGAGTGTACTCTCCAGAGAGACAGAAAGACAGAAAGCAAGAAATCACCCTCTACCCTGGGGGAGATGGCCACGCTGCAATCCCTTCTCCTCTTGGGATTTTGGGCATGTATTCACACGCGCCCAGCATGAGTTTCAAGCCTTGAGTCCCGGAATTGAACTGTAGCTGACCACATGAGTCCAGAGTATTAACTACTACGCCACCTGCTGGCCCTGTAGGCTTGTTTTCTCTTTCTTTCTTTCTTTCTTTCTTTCTTTCTTTCTTTCTTTCTTTCTTTCTTTCTTTCTTTCTTTCTTTCTTTCTTTCTTTCTTTCTTTCTTTCTTTCTTTTTCTCTTTCTTTCTTTCTCTTTCTTTTTTTAGAGAGAGTTTTTCTATAGGGCAGGTGTGCTTACCCGAGAGACAGAGAGACAGAGAGATGGAAAGCAAGAAGTCACTCCCCAGGGTGGCTGGTTATGCCACAGTCTTTTCTCCTCCATTGTCCTTTTGGGATTTTTGAGCATGCACGCATGCCTGCCTGGTGTGAGTTTCAAGCCACTGGGTCCAGGACTTGAACCCCAGTCGACTATTTGGGAATTCAGTGACGTAGCCGTTATGCTCCCTGCTGGCCCCTGTAGGGCTGGTTTCTAAAGGCAGGATCTGGCAGGTGGCTGGGCAGAGTATACCTCCCTTGGCTTTATCTTGCCAGGGCCCCCATACGTTGGAATGGTTTGACCTTCCTCCTCTGAGCCCCACAGGACAGCATGCGCCTCCCACCCCCTTCTAAAATGGTGTGACCCAACCGCCACCAGCATCCTGGCCCACCCCCCAGCCCCCACTGTGGTTAGGCCTGCTGATCTCCAAGTTCCTGTCCCTCTAGGCCTCTGTGGGTGGTCCCTTGTGGCCAAGGACAGTCCCCATACAGGCCTTTGCTGAGGCCCTCTTATCCTCACATGGCCAACATGGTGGGCCGTAGGGCACGTCCACCTCTCGCTGTTCACAGGAACCGTGGGCTTAGAGAGGTGAAGTCACTTGCCCAGATCCTGTCTCTGTCTCTAGTTGGGGGCTTCCCTCAGCCCTTGCCAGGCTTACGAGCTCCAGCTCTTCCACGTTTTCTCTGCAGAACTGTCATATATATATATATTTTTTGAGAGATTTTTGCTATAGGGTGTGTTCGCTCGCTGGAGAGACAGAGACAGAGAGACAGAAAGCGAGAAATCACCCCCAAGAGGAGTTGGCCATGCAGCAATCTCTTCTTCATTCTCCTGTTGGGATTTTGGGCACACACACACACACACACGCCCAGTGTGAGTTTTAAGCTGCTGGTTCTGGGACTTGAACTGCCATCAACTATGTGGGAGTCCAGTGATATAACCGTTATGCCATCTGCTGGTCCCCAAAGCTTCCACTTTATAGATAGAGGTGTAGAGACCCAAAGGATGAAAGATTTTGGCCTGGGGGACTGAGCAAGGACAGAAAGCCGGACGTCCTAACTTGGACCTCCCTCTAGCCTCCTGCCTCCTGACCCCTGGGGAGGGGGCAGGTCTATCCCTCCCTCCCTGAGCCCACTCTGTCTGCCTTTAGGAGCTGGAGAAGGCCGTGGTGCGGGGCCGGGAGCTGGGCTCCCGGCTGGAGCATCTGCAGCATGAACTGGACCTGGCAGCTCGGGAACGCCAGGAGTTTCTGCGGGAACAGGAAAGCCAGCACCAGAGGTGGGAGTGGCACCTGGGGGCAGAGAGGCAGACGGGATGGGTGCAGGGACAGTGGGCCTGGTGCCAAGGCTTCTCCTGGCAGGTATCAGGGCCTGGAGCAGCGGCTGGAAGCTGAGCTGCAGGCGGCAGCGACCAGCAAGGAAGAGGCGCTGATGGAACTTAAGACCAAGGCTCTGCAGCTGGAAGAGGAGCTGTTCCGGGTGAGACCTGCCAGGCCCTCGGCACCAGGGACTGTCCCCTCCTTCCTTCCCTCTCAGGAGGGCACCCAGGGCTGCCTGTGTTCCGGGTCTTCCCATGGATCCCTGGCTGGCTGCTCACTCGGGGACTCTTACAGGAGGGAGAGCAGTGCTGGGAGTCAGGAGCTGCATGGCCTTCTTGGGTGGGGCCTCGTCTCCGGTTCCTCAAATGGTCAGAACCTGTGCTCTGTCACCTGGGCTCCACCACTAGCGAGCTCAGTTACTGGCATCGTCTAAGCCCGTGACTTTCTGTCCCCCCCCTATGTGTGGGCTCAGTGCTAGCTCAGGGTGGTGGGGACCCCAATACCAGCTGCTCAGGGAGCTCACAGTCCAGTCGGGACAGAGGCAAGAAGAATGCTAGGTGCTGTGGAGGGGCTCTGCGGAGGCCGGAAGGGGCACCCAGCAAGCCGCCTTGCTGGCCTGAGTGAGGTTGGTCAGTGGGTTTTCTGCAGAAAGCTGCGTTGGCACTGAGGCCTAGAGGAAGAGTAGGCAGAGAGAGCGTTACCTGCAGAAGGAACCTGCAGAAGGAGCGGGCCATGCTGCAGACCAGGAGATGCGCAAAGGGTGGGGTGGAGCTGCAGGAGCTCGGGCTTGTGGGATCCAGGGAAGGTGTGTGATGGAGGGAGGTGGGTAGTGTTCGATGCTGCCGAAGGTTTCCACACTGCCACTGTGGCCTCACATGACCTGCTTGGGCCTCTGTTTGCAGCTGCGTCAGGGCCCAGTAGGGCCAGGGCCCGGGGAGCCCATTGAACCTCAGCTCGTGGAGACCCATAGTGGGCGGCTCATTGAGGTGGAGCGCAGTGTGAGTGTTGTGTGGTGGTGGTGGTGGTGGGGGCGTGCCCTGTGGCCTGGCAGCTGCTAACATCCCCTTTCTGGGCAGAATGCCACACTGGTGGCCGAGAAGGCAGCTCTGCAGGGGCAATTGCAGCACCTGGAGGGGCAGCTGGGAAGCCTGCAGGGCCGTGCCCAGGAGCTGCTGCTGCAGAGCCAGCGGGCGCAGGAGCACAGTAGCCGCTTGCAGGTGGGTGGCGGCCTGTGTGCCCTGTCTGTGGGGCACTCCCGCCCTGCCTCTGGCTCCTGCCCACTTACAGCTGGCCCAGGCCCTTGTGTACCATTTTGGGCCCTTTTCCTTATGCCAGTTCCCAGCTAGCTCCTCCATCTCTGCTCCCTAGTCGCATTTATCCTTGCCCTTTGTCCTCAGCCACCCTGTTTTGCACCCTTATTCCTGCCCGTGCCTCCTCCTTATCTGCCTCAGGCCCCCACATCTACACCCATCTGCCCTGTCATTTTGCCACCTCAGCCAGCGGCAGTGCCCACAGCTTTCCCTGCCCCATCTGGCCCCTCAGTTCCAGCCCTGTCCCGGGGCCTTTGCCGTCCCCTTCACAGCCTGGCATCCTCCCCTCTCCTCCCCACCAGCCTCTGTCTCAGCCTTCAGCAGCCCGCTGACGTACCTGCTGCCCTCCACCTCCCTCACAGCTCTCCCTCCCCTCTGCCCCAGGCCCCTGTTCTTGGCCTCCTTTCTGATTTGGGGTTCCCCCCCTAGCATCCCCACCTCTCCCCTCCACCCTAGGCCGAGAAGTCTGTATTGGAGGTGCAGGGCCAGGAGCTGCACAGGAAGTTGGGGGTGTTGGAGGAGGAGGTGCGGGCAGCGCGGCGGTCCCAGGAGGAGACCCGCGGGCAGCAGCAGGCCCTGCTGCGGGACCACGAGGCCCTGGCACAACTGCAGCGGCGGCAGGAAGCTGAGCTAGAGGGCCTGCTGGTGCGGCACCGAGACCTCAAGGCCAACATGCGGGCGCTGGAGCTGGCCCACCGGGAGCTGCAAGGCCGGTGAGCCTCCCACATCAGCTGGCTCTTCTCGCTGGCACCCTGCCTGCCCAGAGTAGGCTCCCTTGGCATGCCTGACCCTCACCAGGAAGCACCACCACCCAGCATGTCCACTTCCACTCTGTGACACCCCAGCTGCTACTGTGCTCCTTGGGTGGCTGACTGTCACACTTCTGGGCTGGGCTCACCAGTGAGAAGTCATGGGCATCTGGCATGGCATTCTGCCCACTGGCTTTGCTGAGGGGGCCTGTGCTGAGTGGATGACAGATCCCCAAGTCCAGATAGTCCAGCTGCCTGCTTGCCAGGGCCCCAGGCCCCTGTAGCACCCTTGGCCCTTGTCCATCCCAGGCATGAGCAGCTGCAGGCCCAGCGGGCCAACGTGGAGGCACAGGAGGTGGCCCTGCTGGCTGAGCGTGAGCGCCTGATGCAGGACGGGCATCGGCAGCGCGGCCTGGAGGAGGAGCTGCGGAGGCTGCAGAGTGAACACGAAAGGTACCAGCGTCCCCACTCCGGCCAGCTCTAGCGTCCTCATTTGTGGAGTGGGTTGGAGTGTGTTAGTCACTGTCCCTGTAGGGTCTTACTTGCCTCTCCCTGGCATGGCTTCTCTGCCTGCACGAGGGGTCTGGGGAGCTGAGCCCCACAGACAGCAGCTTTCCTTGCCTCCAAAGAGCTCAGATGCTGCTGGCGGAGGTGTCCCGGGAACGAGGCGAGCTGCAGGGCGAGCGTGGGGAGCTGCGCGGCCGGCTGGCGCGGCTGGAGATGGAGCGAGCACAGCTGGAGATGCAGAGCCAGCAACTGCGAGAGTCCAACCAGCAGCTGGACCTGAGCGCCTGCCGGCTGACCACGCAGTGCGAGGTATGGCGCGGGGCGGCCATGGTGGTTGAGGTGGAGGGGGCCAGGCAGGTCGCACCCAGGCTGCCCTGAGCGGGGCACAGCCCTCGACCTGTGCTGCTGCTGCCAGCTGCTGACAGAGCTTCGGAGCGCCCAGGAAGAGGAGAACCGGCAGCTGCTGGCCGAGGTACAGGCCCTGAGCCGGGAGAACAGGGAGCTCCTGGAGCGCAGCCTGGAGAGCCGGGACCACCTGCACCGCGAGCAGCGCGAGTACCTGTGAGCTGCGGGCTGTCACGTCACGGGAGAGTCCCGGGGTGGTTTCCGAGGGCTGGAGGACCCTCTACGTGTAGTGCGTACGGGCTGCAGTCTGCGCCTTGCTCCTGCCTGCACCTCCTGGGCCTCATGCCCACCTCCTGCCTCCTACCAGGGACCAGCTCAACGCCCTGCGCCGCGAGAAGCAGAAGCTGGTCGAGAAGATCATGGACCAGTACCGCGTGCTGGAGCCTGGGCCCCTGCCCCGGACCAAGTGCGTGGCCCCGCCCACTCCCACAGAGGGGATCCTGCCAACCTCCGCCCTGCCCTGCCTTCTGTACCCTGGCTCAGCCCAGGTCCAGGCCCCAGTGAGGGCTGGCCTGGCCTTTGCCATCCCTACCACCACCCTCTTCTCCCTCCTTCCTCCCTGTCCTTACCCCTTCTTGTGCCCTCTTACCCCCAGGAAGGGCAGCTGGCTGGCAGACAAGGTGAAGAGGCTGATGCGGCCCAGGCGGGAGGGGGGCCCCCATGGGGGGCTGCGCCCGGGGGCCGATGGGGCTGGCAGCACGGAGAGCCTGGGGGGCCCCCCAGAGACGGAGCTCCCTGAGGGCAGGGAGGCAGATGGGACAGGTGGGTCTGGGAGCCAGGTGACCAGGATGGTCCCTCACCTTGCTTTGGCGCTGACCACACTGCCTGGCCTGCACTGCCCTGCCGGCCTTCCCTGCCACCTGCCCCCTGCCCCCACCCCGCCCAGATGCTCTCAGTAGTTCTTTGCTCTAGGCCCTGCAGGGTTCTCAGCTGGCACCTGTCTCCTGTCTGCGCTGCCACCCCGCCAGGCCTGCCCCAGCTGCAGTGGTGCTGGGGGCTCGGAGCACCAGGGGCTTTAGTGGGAGGTCATCTTTCCTAGACAGCAGATGAGGAAGCTGAGGCCCTGGGCGGGAGGTCGCAGTGAGTGGGTGTAGCGCCAGCACAGGACCCTGCTCCTGTCCCCACCCTCATGCCTGCTCCCTGCCCCTGCGCCTCCTTCCCTGGCCCTGGGCAGCTTCATTCTCTGCCCCCTTCTCTGGGCCTTGCCCCTCCCTGCACTTCTGTGACACCCTCCCTGCATGTGCTTCTTGCAGGGTCCCCCTCGCCAGCACCCATGCGCAGGGCCCAGAGCTCCCTCTGCTTGCGGGACGAGACTCTGGCAGGTGGGCAGCGTAGGAAACTCAGCTCGCGGTTTCCCGTGGGGCGTAGCTCTGAGTCATTCAGCCCCGGAGACACCCCCCGACAGCGATTCCGACAACGCCGTCCAGGCCCGCTGGGGGCACTCAGCTCCCATGGCAAAGGTGAGGGGGATGGGTCCCTGCCCCTGCTAGCCCCCAGCTCCTTGGGGAGGCGCCTCCTTCTTGCTCTCTATGTGTCTTGCAAGCCCTGCCTTGTGCCCCCAGGATCTGGCGTGGGATGGGATGGCTCCATCGAGACCCTCCAGGAACACGAAGCAGATGCCAACCGAGAGGGTGAGTGGGGGCCCTAGAAGGAGTGGAGGCATTCGCCCTGTCATGCCCGGCAGGCCTTCTCTGCCTGCGCTGACACACAGCGATCCCTCACCAAGTGCCAGGTGGTATGCTAGCTGGGCCACAGCAGGGCACATCATGGTACGAGGAGGCAGGCAGGAACCAGGTGCAAATGAAACATAATTAGGCCAGCTGGGGGCAGGTGGTTACTGCGCTGAATCTCACACGGCTGACTGCAGTTCAAGCCCTAGACCTAGTGGCTTGAAAAACACGCTGGGGGTGTATGCATGCATGCCCCAAACACACGAGAATGGAGAAGAGGGGATTGTGGTGTGGCCAACTCGCTAGAGGTGTGTATTCTCACTTTCTGTCTGTTTCTCTGATGAGTCCATGTGCTCTATAGCAAAGTTACAAAAAAAAAGAAAAAAGATAATAGTAATTGCTATTTGAAACAGATCCAACCAATAGAAAGATGACATGGGCCACATTGTCTAATGTCAACTTTTCCCTTTTTAAATATTTATTTATTTATTTAATTTTATTTGTCATCATTATTATTATCATTTTTAATTTGACCAGAAAGAGACTGTGAGACAAAGAGAAAGGGAAAGTCAGAAAGCAAGGCACCAGGTCTGGTACTTGAACTGCAGTTGGCTGGCCATGGGGGAGTCCAGTGCCTTAACCATCACACCACCTGCTGGCCTCAATGTTCAAAAAATTTTTTTTAAATTATTTAACTTTATTATTATTATTTGGCTTGCTATAAGACACATGCACTCAGAGAGAGACAGAGAGAGACAGAGAAAGTGACAAAACAGGCCATCAAGTCCGGGACTTAAGCTGTGGGTGACCATGTGGCAGCCCAGTACCCCAACCTCCATGCCACCTGCTAGTTCTATCTCAATGTTAACTTTTCTTTCTTTTTTTTTAAATTAAGAATTATTTAATTTTATTTATTCACTCATTAATTTGACCAGAGAGAGAGATACGGGGGGGGGGGGTGAGAAAACAAGCCACCAGGTCCAGGACTTGAACCATGGTCAGCTATGTGGGAGTGTCCAGTGCCTTAACCACCACGCCATCTGCTGGTCCTCCAATGTTAACTTTTCTTTCTTTTGTTCTTTTTTTTTTTTTTTTGAGAGAGATTTTTGCTTGTGCTCTCACCAGACAGATGGAGAGAGATAAAGAGACAGAAAGTGAGAAATCATCCCCTGGGAGGGATGGTCATGCCATATTCCCTTCTCTATTCTCCTCTCGGAATCTTGGGCACACACGCATATGTGCCTGGCGTGAATTTTAAGCTGCCAGGTCTGGGACTTGAACCGCGGTCGACTATGTGGGAGTCCAGCGACATAATCATTATGCCATCTTCTGGCCCCCCAATGTTAACTTTTCTAATAGCCTCCTCAGAAAAAGTAAAAGCAGACAAAACAATTTTTTACAAAATAATTTATTTATCATTATTATTTTTTTTAGATGTTTCACCTTAGGGTGTGTGTACTCACTGGGGAGAGAGAGAGAGAGAGACAGAGGGAAAGTGAGAAATCACCCACCTGGCAAAGCCACAATCCCTTCTCCATTCTCCTCCCGGGCTCTTGGGCACACACACACACACACATGCCTGGCCTGAGTTTCAAACCACTGGGTCTGAAACTTGAAGTACTGTCGGTCATGTGGGAGTCCAGCAGCAACATAACTGCTATGCCATATCCTGGCTCCATATTATTTTTATTATTTTAAATTTGCTACAGGGTAAGTGCGCTCACTAGAGAGAGATGAGAGAGAGAGAGAGAGAGAGCAAGCAAGCAAGCTGCCAGGTCTGGCACTAACTGCAGTCAGTCAAGTGGGAGTCCAAGGGCCTTAACCACCACACCAACACACCACCTGCTGCCCACCCCCACCCCCCTATTTTTTTTGAGAGAGATTTCTGACAGGTGCTTTTCACCATGCTGGGCTCCTCCTGGCCTAGCCTCCCAGTTAGCGAGGATTATAGGCAATTGCTGCTGAGCCCAGCCTGTTTAGGTTGGCCTGGCACCAAACGTTGGCCTCCCATGCAGCTTGGCCTTACGAAGCAGTGCCTTACTACACGTGCCACCATGATTGGACATAATTTTCACAACATACCCCTTTTAAACTCAAAATACCCAAACTAACACCCCTTGAACATGTCATCTGTGAAAATTCATGAATGAGAGATTTGACGTTCTTTTTTCATGCGAAGTCTTTAAGGTCCAGCAGGTATTTTACGCACAGCGCGTTGCGGTTGGGACCAGTGGTATCACAGGTGTTCAGTCCCGAGAAAACCAAGAGGTGATAATGCTCTGGGGAGAAAGCACAGCCATGGAGGAGAGTCAGGAGCCCTGAGTGGGCTGCTCAGTTTTAATTAGGGTACTGGGGTAGGCCTCAGAGAGCAGGCGAAATTGGAACAAAGACTTAGAGTGAGTTTCTCGCATCGACATCCCTGGGAACAGCATCCAAGGCAGAGGGAACAGCAGAAAGGCCTGGCATGTTTGAGGACTGGCAAGGCACTGGATGTAGTGGAAGTAGAGGAGCTTAGGGGTGGAGCGGGGCAGGAGGCCTGTGCCCTGTAGGCCCCCTTGAAGGCTGAGATTCCTCCTGAAGGAGGTTGGCCTAAGCTGAGCCTTTCTCTCCAGGCCTCGAGGTACAAGAACCGGAGAAGCGTTCCCTCACACCTTCCCTCAGCCAGTGACACTGTGATGACAGGGTACCCGGGAGTGCAGCCTCCTCACCGCTGGAGTGTCAGTGAGGACCCTAGGCAGCCCAAGAACCTGGGGAGCCGGGGGACCCGAGGAGCGTCCTTGGACAAGAAGGCCTGGACCCCTGGCTTCCCTGTAGCCTGTTCTGGAATCCCGAGATGGAACTGGGATGAGCTCGAGGACAGGGGCGATGGCTGGCCTCCACGAGCGGCTCCCGCCTTGGGTGCTGGCTCCGCGGCGCGGCCCCCGCTGAGGAGGTGGTCTCTGGGGTCCCCCAGCTGAAGGAGGCTAGTAGGAGTGGGCAAAAGAGTGCCCTGCCTGACCCAGACGGGGAGCCAAGGCCCATTGCCCAGGGACTATGACCTGGGCGGATCTCAGCGTCAGCTGGAGGAGCGGGACATGAGAATAAAGCTGGGACCCAGTCACCTGCGTCGGAGCTGTCTGCTGGCTGCATCTAGGACCTTGGGGCGCCAGGAACACATGTGACAGGGGCTGTGGCCAGAGGGCCCTGCCTAGACGGGACAGCAAGGGCTGCCTTCAGGGGTGTGGCCACCTGGCCCAAGTCCCTGGGGGTAGGAGGGCAGAGTTCTGCACAGCTGGCAGTGGTAGGGCCTGAGGTCTGGGCTCAGGGATGTGGGGTAGTGAAGCCCCTGTGGCCTTGCCACCATCCTCTCCCAGGGCACCTTCTTCTCTGCTTTCTTCCTGCCTCCTCATCGTCTCTCCCCACACCCCTTTGTGGGTTGAGCCCTTGCTCCAGGGAGCTCATGGCCGCACAGAGGTGAGACTGATGGTGGATCTCTGAGGATGCCCTCTACGATGACGATGACGCCTGTGAAGGGGGGCAATTAGACTGGGTGGCAGGATGTGAGTCAGGGTACCTGGAGCCACCCTGGGGAGGGCGGGGCTGCCCCAGGCAGAGATGAGAGAACTTGAATTTGGGGTGAGTGGAGCCAGGAAGGGCAGCCAGCCCAGCCTCTCCAGCAACCCATCAACCTTAGCAGCCTCTCTTGTCTCTCAGCTGGAGCTTCCCAGGAGAGTGGAGTGGGGTGGACCTCTGGCCTTCAGCCGGCAGAGGAGCTGAAAGTCCCCTCCCATAGGCCTCAGGGTGGGGGCTCTCATGGTTGTCCCACTGTGCTTGGTGGCCCCTGTCAGTAGTCAGGGAGCAGGAGGCAGGAAGTGGGGAGGGGGGACAGAGGCTCTGGAAGAGAGGTCAGCCAGCTCTGGCCTGGTGTGGAGAGGGGACTACCCCTGTGCACTCTGAGGTCCCTTTATTTGTTGTTTATGGAGAGAAAAAGAGGGAGCTAGAGGGAGGTATTTTTGGCAAGGTCTCACTGTGACATGACCCTCCTGCCCCATAGTTCTCTAGGACCCCAGGTGTGTGCTGCTGGGCATGTGTGTTTGGGTTGGCCCAGAAACCAAGCCTGGGCATCGCATGTGCCTTCCAGTCTCCCAAGGGGTGGCACTATCTGTGCACCACCAGGGCTGGGCCAGACATTCCCGTTTTGAGGCCTGCTGGGGGCTGCGGGCTGGGCACCACACCAAGGACAATGGGATAGACTCGCATGAGGTGTGCAAGGACCCTGGTGGGCTGTGAATGGGGGCCGGGGTGCTTCTACAGCCCCCTCTAAAGAGATCCCCTTCCTGCCATGGGGTCCCACATGTGATTCCAGGATTCAGTGACAGGGTGTGAACTTCAGAGGGTCTGAGGCTCCCACACCTCTTCTGTAAAGGCAAGTCCACGGGACAAGGGTCTTGGCTGCCACTCGGGGAGCCCTGGGATGACAGAGCTGGGCTGAGCTCCCACTGCATGATATCTGGGTGACTTCTGGTGACTTTTCGTAGTCTCCCCAGCCTGTGAACACTGGCCTCACCAAGTGAGAGGTGCCAGGCTGAGGCTATGCTGCAGCAGCTGGCCTCAGGCTGCTCATCCAACAAGTGGACACCGACCCCTTCCCCTAGTTCAGTGACCCTAAGCTAGGCAGGTGGGTTGTCACTTTCACTGGTGGCTAGGGGAATTAAACAGATGAGGGTTGCCCTTGGGGCTGGCCCTGGGGGAGGGCTCAGTAAAGCCTGTGTGGGTCCTCCTCCCCACCTCGGGGCACAGGCTCCTGGTGTCCTCCACATCAGGGGCTGGCGGCCGGCGTCCTGGGGCAGACACCTGGTTGGAGGCCCAGCAGAGAACCAGGTTATCCACGCCGGCACATGGTTCCCACGGGTGATTCCAGATCCCACGGAGGGTCGAGGGGGGTTTCGGAGCGCACAGTCCTGGCCCTAGCCTCGGGACACAGCGCCGCCCCTGCCAGTCGCCCACCAGCCGCCTGCTCTGGCCGCCTGCACTGTCACGTTCCAGCCGCCTGACTCAGGCGGAGTGGGGCGGGGAGCTGGGAGGCGGTGCTGGCGCCCGCCTCGGCCCCGGAGGCGGCACCAGGAAGCGCCCGCCCCGGCCGGAGCCGCCATGTAACCGGCGCCGCCCGGAGCCCAAGCTGTGCGGGGGCCCCAGAGACCCGCCCGCCATGGGGGACGAGGACGAGGATGAGGGCTGCGCGGTGGAGCTGCGGATCACGGAAGGTGGGGCCGGGGGGCGCCAGAGGGGGCGGGCCAATGCTGGCTGCCCCAGGCGGGCGGGAGGGGTCGTGGACTGGCTGGGTTCATTCGCCCTCTGTGCCCGCAGCCAACCTGACTGGGCACGAGGAGAAGGTGAGCGTGGAGAACTTCGAGCTGCTCAAGGTGCTGGGCACGGGAGGTGAGGACCCCCGTCCACCGGGCAGGTGTCCCAGGCATAGTGCTCCCGGCTTCCCTCCTGCACATCCTCCTGGGCGAGAGCCAGGCCACTGGGCAGGCCCCCCACCCTTTCCTGGCACAGCCTGCCTTGCCTGCCCCACCCTGCTGTGCCAGGGTTTGCATGCTCACTTTCAGGGCACTCCACGTTGCCATCGTGTCTCCTGCGAGATCCTGTGTGTGCAGGCTCCCTGCCTGGGTTTGCCGCCCCCCCTTGGAGGCCTGCACCCCTCCCGTGTGCATTCGCATAGCTCCTCCCCTTCTCCCAAAGGAATCCCCCTCCCGTGTTCTGCAGACTCCTAAGCCCTGCTTTGCTAGTCCTGCCTCTGCCAGGCCAGGTGTGCACCTCTGCCTCCCCTCCTTGCATTTGCATCCTTTCACATCCATCTGATCCTCGGCAGGTTTGCACACGCCCCACCCCCACCCCTGCTGCAGGCCTCCTGGAGTTGCACGCCTCCTAGCCTGATTCGCACATCCCTTCCCTGGGCTTGCTGCATACTCTCACGGGTGTGCAGCCCCTTTAGAAGGTTTTGCCGGCTCTTTGCACACTTAACTATCGCCCCGGTTCCTTCTCCCAATTTGTTGGCATCACCCCACCCCTACCAGTCTGCACCATCCTCCCACTCATGGCCTACCCTCCACCTACTCACTGCTCCCACAGCCTACGGGAAGGTGTTCCTGGTGCGGAAAGCGGGTGGGCACGACACGGGGAAGCTGTATGCCATGAAGGTGCTGCGCAAGGCGGCGCTCGTGCAGCGCACCAAGACGCAGGAGCACACGCGGACTGAGCGCTCGGTGCTGGAGCTGGTGCGCCAGGCGCCCTTCCTGGTCACGCTGCACTATGCCTTCCAGACTGATGCCAAGCTGCACCTCATCCTGGGTGAGGGCATGCTCTGTGGTATTCTGAGGGTACTGGGGAGCAAGTGAAGCCACCTGCTTCCTAACCCCCACTGCACCCCCAGACTATGTGAGTGGCGGCGAAATGTTCACCCACCTCTACCAGCGCCAGTACTTCAAGGAGGCTGAGGTGCGCGTGTACGGGGGTGAGATCGTGCTGGCCCTGGAGCATCTGCACAAGGTGAGTGAGGACCTGGCTGCCAGGCTGTTGCTATGGGAACTGGGTCTGGGCCGTGTAAACATAGAAGCTTCGGTTCTGTCCCTGGGCTTCCTGGGGGAGAGGTGGCCTTGGCAGGGACCAGAGTTCCTTCCCCAGGCCTCTTGGCCGGAAGCCTTAGCTCCCCCAGAGCCTTCTCCAAGGGGCTTTCCTCTCACAGGGAACTCCTGGGGCCGTGGTCACAGAACTTCCTCAATTGGAGACCTCATGCCACTGGGGCTCTTTGCAGACTTTCTCTCTGGATCTGGGGCCCGCACCCAGATCTTGCTTTGTCTCACCTGATCTTTCTTATCCACTCCTGCCCTGGAGGTCTCCTCTGCAGGTAGATGACTCCCTCCAGGAGGGCCTCCTCATCCTGACCAGGGACCTCGGGCAGGGCTAGGATATGCAGGAGCAGGGGAGGGCCTCGGGGAGGAAGCCTTAGTGCCCGCTTACTCCTGCTAGCTGGGCATCATCTACCGAGACCTGAAGCTGGAGAACGTGCTGCTCGACTCAGAGGGCCACATTGTCCTCACCGACTTCGGGCTGAGCAAGGAGTTTCTGACGGAGGAGGTGAGCGTCCGACAGCATCTGCTCTTCCAGCTTTCGCCTTCCTGTCTCTTCCTGTTCTGTGCCTGCTTTCTGGGGGTGTAGAGGTGAATAGATCCGAGAAGTTCCCACTGCTCAAGTGTCTGACCACGCGAGTGGAGCAAGTCCTGCTCTGGGCCTGGGGGGTTGCTGGGACAAGAGAGGCTTGGATATCCAAATGGTCCTCTCGCCTTCCCAGAAAGAGCGGACCTTCTCCTTCTGTGGCACCATCGAGTACATGGCCCCTGAAATCATCCGCAGCAAGGCAGGGCATGGCAAGGTGGGTTGGCGGATACAGGGGTGGTGGTTGTGGTGGGCTGGAGGTGGGAGGTGCAGGCCCTTACCCGGTTCTGCCTATAGGCTGTGGACTGGTGGAGCCTGGGCATCCTGCTCTTCGAGCTGCTAACGGGGGCCTCGCCCTTCACCCTGGAGGGCGAGAGGAACACGCAGGCTGAGGTGTCCCGGTAAGTAGGGCTGGATGTGGAGGGGGGCCAGGGGCTGCCCGGGCAGGGCTGTTGGGGGGAGACTCGCTGCCCCTGACACCCCCCCAATCCTCCCAGACGGATCCTGAAGTGCTCCCCCCCCTTCCCTTCCCGGATCGGGCCCGTGGCGCAGGACCTGCTACAGCGGCTGCTTTGCAAGGATCCCAAGAAGCGACTGGGCGCAGGGCCCCAGGGGGCACAAGAAGTCAAGAATCACCCCTTCTTCCAGGTGAGGCTCCTGACTCTGGGACCCCTACACCTCCCCGCAGATACCCAGGCCCAGCAGCTGCTCCCGGTTGGTGAACGCTGAAGGATGGCCTTAGCCTGGCCATTTTGGCTCTGTCTGGAAACTCCCCAGCATATCAGTCTAGGTTTATCTTCTCATTTTTTTCTTTACTTTTTCAGAATTATTTTTAAATAAATAATTTTATTTACTACCATTATTATTATTTAAGTTTGCAACAAGGCACATGTGCACACCAGAGAGAGACAAAGAGAGAGGGAAAGTGAGAAAGGAAGCTACCAAGTCTGGGACTCAAACCGCAGTTGGCCGTGTGGGAGTCCAGTGCCTTAACCACTATGCCACCTACTGGTCTCTCTCATCCATTTTATATCGAGTTTATGATTTATTTTTTAGAGACAGAGAGAGAGCATTTCTAACAGGGTCTTTATTTCTTTTTTCTTTTCTTTTTTTTTTTTTTTTTTTAAAGAATTGTTTTATTGGGGCCAGTAGAGAGCATAACAGTTACATTGCTGGAGTCCCATGTAGTCAACCATGGTTCGAGTCCCAGATCTGGTGGCTTAAACTCACGCTGGATGCATGTGTGCACATCCCAAAATCCCGAGAGGAGAATGGAAGAGAAGGAATTGAGGCATGGCCAGCTAGCCTGGGGATTGATTTCTCGCTTTCTGTCTCTGTCTCTCTCTGTATCTCTGGTGAACACAGCACCCTACAGCAAAAATCCCCCCCCCCAAAAAAAAAACGAAATAAAACAACAACACACACGCACACACACACACACACACACACACACACAAACAGAAATAATTATTTTCTTTAGCTTCATTTATTTAAAGAATTATTTTTATTATTTTGACATATTTTAATTTGACCAGAGAAGGACAAAGTGAGAGAAAGGAAGAGAGGGAAAGTGAGAAAGCAAGCTGGCAGATCTGGGACTCGAACAGCAGTCGGCCATGTGGGAGTCCAGCTCCTTAACCACCATGCCACCTGCTGTCTCCTTTTTTTTCCATTTGTAAAGAAAAACAATTTGCTAGAGGGCATGTATACTTGCTGGAGAGAGACACAGAAGAAGAGAAAGGGAAAGGGAGAACGCAACTCCCCAGGAGGGACGGCCACATTGCAATCCCTTCTTCTCCCTTTCTCCTTTTAGGATTTTAGGTATACATGTACACGTGTGTGCGTGTGCATGTGTGTGCGTGTGCCTTTCAAGTCACTGGGTCTTGGACTCAAACTGCACAGTTGGCCATTCGAGATCCATCCACCTCGACCACCATGCCACTGGCTGGCCTTCCTAACAGGGTCTTGATGCTGCAGCTGCATCTCCCCCAGCGCTAGCTACCCCTGGAGCAGGGGCGCACACATGCCTGGCGTAGTCAGGGCGGTCTTCGGGACACAAACCGAAACCTTCTCACACTGGAGGCTCACAGAGTATCGTGTTCTACTGCTATACCACCGCCAGCCCCCTTCTCTTCTATTTCCCTTGAATCTCAGCAGGTGCCTTCCTGAAGGAAAGCATTACAGGTTCACTGATCATCAGAGCAGGCAGGGATGTGAGCATAAATTGACCAGTCCTTTTTTTTTTTAAAAATGTTTTTGCCATAGGGTGCATGCACTCACCAGAGGAGGAAAGTGGGAAATCAATGCCTGCCTCCCCTGCAGGCGGGATGGCCACACCACAGTCCCTTCTCTATTCTCTGAGATTTTGGGTATGCACACACATATGCCCAGAGTGTTTTTCAAGTTGCTAGGTCTAGGACTTGAACCGTCATTGGTCATCTGGGAGTCCAGCCGCCTTAACCACCACGCCACCTGCTAGCCCAGTCAGTCCTTTCATTAGACAGACGCAGAGAAGGCAGGACCTGTCCAAGGTGGCGTAGTTATGCTGTGCTGGGAACAGACCCCAGCTTTAGGTAGGTCTGTGGGCCGAGACTGGTACTAAGAACCACTATGGCTTTTAGTGTCCACCCAGGCCTTGTGCTCTTTGTCCCTGTACAGCCTCTGCCTGTAATTCAGGGGGACGGTTATCAGCCCCCATGCATTTGTGCTTACCTGTTAAGAGCACACACGTTAGAGTGCAGCGCACAGGAGCTTTGCCTCATTGGGAGGCCTCGCTGACTCAGGACTGCGTGTGGCCAGCGTCGCTGCTCAGCAGGACCCTGTCACCGCGAACACCTCCTGTGTATGGCTTTTACTTACACTAGCTCATGTGAGCAAGCTCACGTCCTGGCACAGTGGTCTTTGATTGACAGTTCCGGTTGCCCTGTTGCGGGGAAGATCTAGGGAGTACTGAGTCCTGACAAGGACAAGGGCCTGTGCAGTGTCCACAGATCAGCCGGGACCGAGGCAGGCAGCTGCGTCCTGCCTCCTCTGTGTCTGGGGTTCTGTGAGGTCTCACCACGTGGAAGAGTCGAGGGTTCCCAGCTGAGGGTCTTAGAGGCACCTTGATTATCCCCATCTATATAGATGAGGAAGCTGAGGTTCAGAGAAGTGAAGTAATTTGCCCAAGGTCGCCCTGCCAGGCGGTGATGGAGCGCAGATTCAAACCCAGGGCTGGGTGACCTGAATGCCAAGGTTTTGTTTCTGTTTTCAAGAGAGATTTTTGCTATAGGCCCTATGTGCTTGCCAGAGAGACAGAGGGACAGAGAGACAGAAAGCAAGAAATCACCCTCCAGAGAGGATAGCCTGGTCACAATCTCTTCTCCTCTATTCTGCTCTTGGGGTTTTGGGCGCACATACCCACACATCGGTGTGTTTCAAGCCCCTGGGCCTGGGACTTGAACCGTGGCTGACCGCATGGCAGTCCTGTGCCTTAACCACTATGCCACCTGCTGGCCCAATGCCTAGGTTCTTAGTTGCTATGTTCTTCTGTTTACATGTGGGCATCCGACTCACCACTCGCCTGCCATTGTAACACAAGTGCCCTTTTATGGCAAAAGAGCCCATTTTGTAATGAAGTGCCTTCTCCTTGAATCTTCCTCACAAGTACCAGCCCCGAAGGGCCCTCGTGGGGTGCCTCCTCAGACAGGAATCTAAGTTTCCAAAATGAAGATGTCCCTTTAGAGATGGGATTGGGGGTTGGGGGAGCCATAAGCAGTGTCAGTTTCCTTCAGCAAATTCTTCAAGCCCATCCTGTGCCCACGCTGAGTGGTGTTGGGTGCTCTTTCTGTCTCTGTCTCTCTCTGTATCTCTGGTGAACACAGCACCCTACAGCAAAAATCCCCCCCCCCCAAAACAAAACGAAATAAAACAAAAAGACACAGAAGAAGAGAAAGGGAAAGGGAGAACGCAACTCCCCAGGAGGGACGGCCACATTGCAATCCCTTCTTCTCCCTTTCTCCTTTTAGGATTTTAGGTATACATGTACACGTGTGTGCGTGTGCATGTGTGTGCGTGTGCCTTTCAAGTCACTGGGTCTTGGACTCAAACTGCACAGTTGGCCATTCGAGATCCATCCACCTCGACCACCATGCCACTGGCTGGCCTTCCTAACAGGGTCTTGATGCTGCAGCTGCATCTCCCCCAGCGCTAGCTACCCCTGGAGCAGGGGCGCACACATGCCTGGCGTAGTCAGGGCGGTCTTCGGGACACAAACCGAAACCTTCTCACACTGGAGGCTCACAGAGTATCGTGTTCTACTGCTATACCACCGCCAGCCCCCTTCTCTTCTATTTCCCTTGAATCTCAGCAGGTGCCTTCCTGAAGGAAAGCATTACAGGTTCACTGATCATCAGAGCAGGCAGGGATGTGAGCATAAATTGACCAGTCCTTTTTTTTTTTAAAAATGTTTTTGCCATAGGGTGCATGCACTCACCAGAGGAGGAAAGTGGGAAATCAATGCCTGCCTCCCCTGCAGGCGGGATGGCCACACCACAGTCCCTTCTCTATTCTCTGAGATTTTGGGTATGCACACACATATGCCCAGAGTGTTTTTCAAGTTGCTAGGTCTAGGACTTGAACCGTCATTGGTCATCTGGGAGTCCAGCCGCCTTAACCACCACGCCACCTGCTAGCCCAGTCAGTCCTTTCATTAGACAGACGCAGAGAAGGCAGGACCTGTCCAAGGTGGCGTAGTTATGCTGTGCTGGGAACAGACCCCAGCTTTAGGTAGGTCTGTGGGCCGAGACTGGTACTAAGAACCACTATGGCTTTTAGTGTCCACCCAGGCCTTGTGCTCTTTGTCCCTGTACAGCCTCTGCCTGTAATTCAGGGGGACGGTTATCAGCCCCCATGCATTTGTGCTTACCTGTTAAGAGCACACACGTTAGAGTGCAGCGCACAGGAGCTTTGCCTCATTGGGAGGCCTCGCTGACTCAGGACTGCGTGTGGCCAGCGTCGCTGCTCAGCAGGACCCTGTCACCGCGAACACCTCCTGTGTATGGCTTTTACTTACACTAGCTCATGTGAGCAAGCTCACGTCCTGGCACAGTGGTCTTTGATTGACAGTTCCGGTTGCCCTGTTGCGGGGAAGATCTAGGGAGTACTGAGTCCTGACAAGGACAAGGGCCTGTGCAGTGTCCACAGATCAGCCGGGACCGAGGCAGGCAGCTGCGTCCTGCCTCCTCTGTGTCTGGGGTTCTGTGAGGTCTCACCACGTGGAAGAGTCGAGGGTTCCCAGCTGAGGGTCTTAGAGGCACCTTGATTATCCCCATCTATATAGATGAGGAAGCTGAGGTTCAGAGAAGTGAAGTAATTTGCCCAAGGTCGCCCTGCCAGGCGGTGATGGAGCGCAGATTCAAACCCAGGGCTGGGTGACCTGAATGCCAAGGTTTTGTTTCTGTTTTCAAGAGAGATTTTTGCTATAGGCCCTATGTGCTTGCCAGAGAGACAGAGGGACAGAGAGACAGAAAGCAAGAAATCACCCTCCAGAGAGGATAGCCTGGTCACAATCTCTTCTCCTCTATTCTGCTCTTGGGGTTTTGGGCGCACATACCCACACATCGGTGTGTTTCAAGCCCCTGGGCCTGGGACTTGAACCGTGGCTGACCGCATGGCAGTCCTGTGCCTTAACCACTATGCCACCTGCTGGCCCAATGCCTAGGTTCTTAGTTGCTATGTTCTTCTGTTTACATGTGGGCATCCGACTCACCACTCGCCTGCCATTGTAACACAAGTGCCCTTTTATGGCAAAAGAGCCCATTTTGTAATGAAGTGCCTTCTCCTTGAATCTTCCTCACAAGTACCAGCCCCGAAGGGCCCTCGTGGGGTGCCTCCTCAGACAGGAATCTAAGTTTCCAAAATGAAGATGTCCCTTTAGAGATGGGATTGGGGGTTGGGGGAGCCATAAGCAGTGTCAGTTTCCTTCAGCAAATTCTTCAAGCCCATCCTGTGCCCACGCTGAGTGGTGTTGGGTGCTGGGAGTGAGCTACCCAGTCGTACTGGGAGGCCCCATGGTCTCCAAGGCCTGGTGTCTGGATGGGTGTTGCGCTCATTCTGTCTTCCTCTGGATGGCCTTTCTGGTGATAACAGTTTTTTCTTTTTCTTTTTTGGAGAGGTTTTTCACTATAGGGCGTGTGCGCTCGTCAGACAGACAGAGAGAGACATAGAGACAGAAAGCGAGAAATCACCCCCCAGGGGGGATGGCCATGCCGCAATCCCTTCTCCTCCATTCTCCTCTCGGGATCTTGGACACACACGTACACGCGCCCGGCGTGAGTTTTAAGCCACCAGGATCCGGGACGCGAACCGCAGTTGACTACGTGGGAGTCCAGCGACATAGCCATTATGCTAACTGCTGGTTCCCAGATTTTTCTTTTTAAATAATTATTTTATTTAACTTTATTTATTTTATTTGCTTATTTATTTTAATTTGGTGAGAGAGAGAGAGAGAGAAAACCACCAGGTCTGGGACTTGAACTGTGGTCGCCCATGTGGGAGTCCAGCGCCCTTAACCACCATGCCACCTGCCAGCCCCATGGTGATAGCAGTTTTAAGGTCTCTGGTGACAGCACCAGGGCCTTTGAGTCTGAGTCATGCCTCTTGGCTGCAAGTGACTAAAATGTCCAACACAAGGGCCAGCCAGGTGGCATGGTGGTTAAGGCAGCTGGATCCCACATGGCCAACGGCGCTGTTCTAATCCTGGAGTAGGAGACTGTGAAACACACTGGGCGCATGTGCCCAAAGTCTGCAGAAGAGCCTGGAGGAGGAAGGATTGCGGTATGGCCACCCCCGACCCCAGGAGGGGTTTCCCTCTATTCTCTGTCTCTGTCTGTCTCAGTGAGACATGTGCCCTATAACAAAATCTAGAAAGAAAAAAGAAAAAAAAAACAAGAGTCCCATTCAAAATGGTGGTATTAATTGGAATAGCTGTTAGCGACTGAGATCAGAATGAACAGTGACCTAGACAACGCAGAGGAATATTTTTTTTCTTTTCACATAAAAGGCCAGGGCTAGGGACCAGCAGTTAACGTAATGGCTATGTCGCTGGACTCCCATATAGTCGACCGCGGTTCGTGTCCCGGACCCGGTGGCTTAAAACTCACGCTGGGTGTGTGTGCGTGTGTGCGTGTGTGCGTGTGTGCCCAAGATCCTGGGAGGAGAGTGGAGGAGAAGGGATTTTGGCGTGGCCATACCCCCTGGGGGGTGATTTCTCGCTTTCTGT